GGCCTCCATCAACTCGTCGAACACAGAGAGGAACCGCGGTCGCATGAGGGGATTCGTGTCAATCATATCCAGGGACTTCGCTCGGAGCTCCGAGATGATCTCCTCCAAGTCCTCCACATCGTTTCCCGTCATCTGGAAGTCAGGCACGTCCTCCGGCTCCATCAGAATGGCGCCTATGATCATCATGTTGAAGATGGCCCCCAAGACGTTCAAGCTCCGGAATTCCTGCAGGACATCGGCCTCGCTAAGACGCCCCTCGCCCCCTGCTCCTCCGGCCTCCATCACGGCGTTGAAGTGGCCTCGGTACGTCTCCAGGAATGCGTCCAGGTTGGGCTTCCTGACGGCGCCCGTGAGGCTCGTGTACAGGAGGTAGTTGAGGTCCGCGGCGAAGGATTCCCGTCGAGATACCTGCAGATCGATCAGCATCACTTCGACGGGAATGCCCTCTTCGTTGTACCTGTTCGCAGTGACAGACAGAGCAATCTGATCAATGTCGATGGCACTGAGGGTAAGGATCGTTTCACAGAGTGTAACAATTCTAATTGCTTGTGTGATATTTTAGATGTTCGATCATGTTAATAGGGATAATTGTTGTCACGGTAATAAATGATGATACTGAAATCATTAGGCCCACTAGGGCTACCACTAATGTTATTTTCGAAGCCGAAGTCACTGCCCTCAACATCGGCTGAGGGCAGAGGCTGAAGCTCTCTCTGACCGCTTCGCCTCGCGGGCGTGGCAAGAGGCCTCGCTCCTCCTAGGGCGTCTCTGCCACGCCTGTCCTCTGTACATCACCTACCATACTCCCGTGCAAATAAAGTTTTGAAGCTGTGACAACTTTAACTCACAACACACCTCAAGAAACAAACACCAGTACAATCCAAGAGGGACACATCTTCCATCATATATTACAGGGAGGGAGGGGAGGAGGGAGAGGGAGAGGGAGAGAGGGAGAGGGAGAGGGAGAGGGAGAGGGAGAGGGAGAGGGAGAGGGAGAGGGAGAGGGAGAGGGAGAGGGAGAGGGAGAGGGAGAGGGAGAGGGAGAGGGAGAGGGAGAGGGAGAGGGAGAGGGAGAGGGAGAGGGAGAGGGAGAGGGAGAGGGAGAGGGAGAGGGAGAGGGAGAGGGAGAGGGAGAGGGAGAGGGAGAGGGAGAGGGAGAGGGAGAGGGAGAGGGAGAGGGAGAGGGAGAGGGAGAGGGAGAGGGAGAGGGAGAGGGAGAGGGAGAGGGAGAGGGAGAGGGAGAGGGAGAGGGAGAGGGAGAGGGAGAGGGAGAGGGAGAGGGAGAGGGAGAGGGAGAGGGAGAGGGAGAGGGAGAGGGAGAGGGAGAGGGAGAGGGAGAGGGAGAGGGAGAGGGAGAGGGAGAGGGAGAGGGAGAGGGAGAGGGAGAGGGAGAGGGAGAGGGAGAGGGAGAGGGAGAGGGAGAGGGAGAGGGAGAGGGAGAGGGAGAGGGAGAGGGAGAGGGAGAGGGAGAGGGAGAGGGAGAGGGAGAGGGAGAGGGAGAGGGAGAGGGAGAGGGAGAGGGAGAGGGAGAGGGAGAGGGAGAGGGAGAGGGAGAGGGAGAGGGAGAGGGAGAGGGAGAGGGAGAGGGAGAGGGAGAGGGAGAGGGAGAGGGAGAGGGAGAGGGAGAGGGAGAGGGAGAGGGAGAGGGAGAGGGAGAGGGAGAGGGAGAGGGAGAGGGAGAGGGAGAGGGAGAGGGAGAGGGAGAGGGAGAGGGAGAGGGAGAGGGAGAGGGAGAGGGAGAGGGAGAGGGAGAGGGAGAGGGAGAGGGAGAGGGAGAGGGAGAGGGAGAGGGAGAGGGAGAGGGAGAGGGAGAGGGAGAGGGAGAGGGAGAGGGAGAGGGAGAGGGAGAGGGAGAGGGAGAGGGAGAGGGAGAGGGAGAGGGAGAGGGAGAGGGAGAGGGAGAGGGAGAGGGAGAGGGAGAGGGAGAGGGAGAGGGAGAGGGAGAGGGAAAGGGGGAGGGAGGGAGGGAGAGAGATGAATGTATTAGAATGATTAAATTAATGAAGTTCTTAAGGAGGTTGAGACCTGGTGCATATATTTTCCAGTATATATATCATAGAAAATCTTACTTACCTGAAAAGTAGGTTGTTGTTCCAGGCGTCACCATGACAAATGACTTGATGTTTGCATGGCTCCAATTGCTTGTCAAAAATCTCTTGCAACTTTGATTTAATACTTTCAGCCCAGGAAATGGAAGACTCATACCCGCCCACCTTTTTTAACATAAATATTCCCGTATCTATTACTCCTTCGAACATCTTCAAGGCAGTTGCTCCGTCTTCCCCCATGTTGAGATAGCTCTTGTTCAAAAGCGTGTCTTTGAAATACTCGGGGTCTTTCTCCTGCAACAGTAAAGAGGCAGCGTGGAGTTTGGCCAGCTCTTTTAACACGAGCTTCGTGTGCGCGACGTCCAGCCCCTTCCGACGGTCGAACATCTTGAAGCCTCGAGGCCTCAAATCCTCCAAGAAAATCAGCTCCTTCCTCTTCTCCAGAGTGCCGTAGTGACACTCCGGCATTGCCAGTGGACTGAGGTTATTGTCTCGCAAGACCTCATTCAGCTGAGGTAGCAACTTGATGTAGAATTCCGCCTCTTTGAGGAAAATCGTATGTGTATTGTCCTCTAAGTTTACAAAGCCATGACAAGGGTTGATCTTCACGATGTAAGTTATGCGTTCGTCGTTGCCATTGAGGTTGAATTCCACCTCGACGCTCGACACCACAGACGCGTAGTTGTCGCCCTTGTTGGTGAAGTCCTTGATCTGCCAGGAGCTGAGTCTCGCCTCGCCGCCCTTGTGCGCCTTCAGGGCCTCCTTCACCGCGTCCTCCGTTATCAGGTTATGACACGCCTTAATTCTTTCTGTAAAGGATTGAACGTTTTTGTCAAATATGATATATGGATATATGTACATGTACACGTGTGTGTGTGTGTGTGCGCGCGCGTGCGTGTGTGCGTGCGTGCGCGATAGAGAACATTCACGAGCATATCCATATACAATCATGGTCTGGTACATTTATCGTATCTAAAACACAGAGGCAGGGTAGCTGAAGGAGGCAACAAGACCTGGTCCCGATGGTTATTGTATATAGCAAAAGCTGTATTTTTCTTGACATCACATGTCGTTATTATTATTATTATTATTTTCAATTTCATTAATATTATTATTATTATTGTTATCATTATCATTACATGTTACCATTATTATTAATAGTAGTAGTGTTATTATTATTATCATTTTTTTATCGCTAATATGCTTATCATCATCGTTATCATTATTATAAACTCACTCACTCTCTTTCTTTCTTTCTCTCTCTGTCTCTGTCTCTCAGTTTCTCAGTCACATAATGACTCACTCATTAACTCAAAAATTAACTTTAGAAACAGAAATTCCCGAACATTTAATTGCATATCAATAAAGGAAAAAATATTAACCTTCATTCTTAAGGAAATTCTAACAATATCTTCCAGATTGTATATTAGATTTGATTAATAACCTGGCCATGTTATTATGAGTATACATCTGCTATGTGTTCGGGTGTCTAGGCAATGAAGACGAAATGGGGAAAACATGAGTAAATGTGAAAGGCGTTAGTACATACTGAAATGAGTATTATTTGTTCTGTCTTAAACCTTATTTTATAACCAAGACTACTCTGTTCGGGTCTTTGGTGCCTAAGCCTATGCCCTTCTTAAAAGTCAAATTTTAAAAAATCTTGCATTCTTTCTCTCGCTGCAGCACCAGCAGCAGCTCAGCCCTCACTACAACAGGACTCCAATCTCTTGAAATGTATTACCTGGGACATAAACACGTTACTGTCAGTCAGGATGCACTCCATAGGATCACTGCATTACTAATGTGTGTGTGTGTGTGTGTGTGTGTGTGTGTGTGTGTGTGTGTGTGTGTGTGTGTGTGTGTGTGTGTGTGTGTGTGTGTGTGTGTGTGTGTGTGTGTGTGTGTGTGTGTGTGTGTGTGTGTGTGTGTGTGTGTGTGTGTGTGTGTGTGTGTGTGTGTGTGTGTGTGTGTGTGTGTGTGTGTGTGTGTGTGTGTGTGTGTGTGTGTGTGTGTGTGTGTGTGTGTGTGTGTGTGTGTGTGTGTGTGTGTGTGTGTGTGTGTGTGTGTGTGTGTGTGTGTGTGTGTGTGTGTGTGTGTGTGTGTGTGTGTGTGTGTGTGTGTGTGTGTGTGTGTGTGTGTGTGTGTGTGTGTGTGTGTGTGTGTGTGTGTGTGTGTGTGTGTGTGTGTGTGTGTGTGTGTGTGTGTGTGTGTGTGTGTGTGTGTGTGTGTGTGTGTGTGTGTGTGTGTGTGTGTGTGTGTGTGTGTGTGTGTGTGTGTGTGTGTGTGTGTGTGTGTGTGTGTGTGTGTGTGTGTGTGTGTGTGTGTGTGTGTGTGTGTGTGTGTGTGTGTGTGTGTGTGTGTGTGTGTGTGTGTGTGTGTGTGTGTGTGTGTGTGTGTGTGTGTGTGTGTGTGTGTGTGTGTGTGTGTGTGTGTGTGTGTGTGTGTGTGTGTGTGTGTGTGTGTGTGTGTGTGTGTGTGTGTGTGTGTGTGTGTGTGTGTGTGTGTGTGTGTGTGTGTGTGTGTGTGTGTGTGTGTGTGTGTGTGTGTGTGTGTGTGTGTGTGTGTGTGTGTGTGTGTGTGTGTGTGTGTGTGTGTGTGTGTGTGTGTGTGTGTGTGTGTGTGTGTGTGTGTGTGTGTGTGTGTGTGTGTGTGTGTGTGTGTGTGTGTGTGTGTGTGTGTGTGTGTGTGTGTGTGTGTGTGTGTGTGTGTGTGTGTGTGTGTGTGTGTGTGTGTGTGTGTGTGTGTGTGTGTGTGTGTGTGTGTGTGTGTGTGTGTGTGTGTGTGTGTGTGTGTGTGTGTGTGTGTGTGTGTGTGTGTGTGTGTGTGTGTGTGTGTGTGTGTGTGTGTGTGTGTGTGTGTGTGTGTGTGTGTGTGTGTGTGTGTGTGTGTGTGTGTGTGTGTGTGTGTGTGTGTGTGTGTGTGTGTGTGTGTGTGTGTGTGTGTGTGTGTGTGTGTGTGTGTGTGTGTGTGTGTGTGTGTGTGTGTGTGTGTGTGTGTGTGTGTGTGTGTGTGTGTGTGTGTGTGTGTGTGTGTGTGTGTGTGTGTGTGTGTGTGTGTGTGTGTGTGTGTGTGTGTGTGTGTGTGTGTGTGTGTGTGTGTGTGTGTGTGTGTGTGTGTGTGTGTGTGTGTGTGTGTGTGTGTGTGTGTGTGTGTGTGTGTGTGTGTGTGTGTGTGTGTGTGTGTGTGTGTGTGTGTGTGTGTGTGTGTGTGTGTGTGTGTGTGTGTGTGTGTGTGTGTGTGTGTGTGTGTGTGTGTGTGTGTGTGTGTGTGTGTGTGTGTGTGTGTGTGTGTGTGTGTGTGTGTGTGTGTGTGTGTGTGTGTGTGTGTGTGTGTGTGTGTGTGTGTGTGTGTGTGTGTGTGTGTGTGTGTGTGTGTGTGTGTGTGTGTGTGTGTGTGTGTGTGTGTGTGTGTGTGTGTGTGTGTGTGTGTGTGTGTGTGTGTGTGTGTGTGTGTGTGTGTGTGTGTGTGTGTGTGTGTGTGTGTGTGTGTGTGTGTGTGTGTGTGTGTGTGTGTGTGTGTGTGTGTGTGTGTGTGTGTGTGTGTGTGTGTGTGTGTGTGTGTGTGTGTGTGTGTGTGTGTGTGTGTGTGTGTGTGTGTGTGTGTGTGTGTGTGTGTGTGTGTGTGTGTGTGTGTGTGTGTGTGTGTGTGTGTGTGTGTGTGTGTGTGTGTGTGTGTGTGTGTGTGTGTGTGTGTGTGTGTGTGTGTGTGTGTGTGTGTGTGTGTGTGTGTGTGTGTGTGTGTGTGTGTGTGTGTGTGTGTGTGTGTGTGTGTGTGTGTGTGTGTGTGTGTGTGTGTGTGTGTGTGTGACAGGGTTGATCATTGAACCAACTTGCCACTTTCCCATGAAGGACTCAATTACGCAGTACCGCTATCTCCAAATCAAATCAATTGTCTTCGAGATCATGAGGGTCAGGTATGGTCCAATGAAAAGATACTACCTGGTATTACGAGAGCGTTGCTGGGACATTAGATATAGACAAAACCCTAAGAAAGTTTGTAATGGTGATATCAGGTTACACTGACTAGGCTACGAATAGGATATCCTGTACATAGGATATGTACAGGATGCAGATTAGGAAGCAATGCCAGTTTCATATCACCGCTGCAAATGTGCTAGACGTTCAAGTTGCATAATCTTACCCATTACTTACTTTGTTGCACGAAAACTGCATATGATCTATCTAAAAGTACTGTCCACAGATTAGCACTTATTGACTATATTAATTGTATTATAGGCATTGGTCTTGTCTTTTTTTGTCAACCAGATGATATTCTAATAATGCAGAGACAATGGCATGTATATAACGCTGTTTGACTGATAGCCCTCTCTACAACTAGCACAAACAGTTTGGAGAGATGCTTTGTTATTTTACCCTGTTTTTTGCAAGGCATGTACACAGTTCTGTAAATAAATCTTATTAAATCAAATCTAATCTGTCTCGCTCTCGCCCTGTCCCTCTTTCCCTCTCTCTCTCTCTCTGTAACAGTCTGTAGGGTCAGAGTACTATGGTTATGACGGGTTGGGCAGTGATAGTGACTCTTTGTTAAGGAAAAGTACAGCATAGTAAAGGGAACACACGAGACGTTGTCTTAGGGTGAGCACCGAGTGCGGTGTCGCGTGTCCGGCCAGCCAGCCCTGAGGGACCAGAGGCTGGTGGTTGACCTGGGCACGGTGACTGCTGGGGGTGAACTGAAGACTGGGTCATCCTCGGGCACAAGTAGTGAGCGTCCACTGGAAACGTGGAATTGGAAATCAGCTGCAGGAAATGTGGGGGGACCGAGACGAGGTCACGGATTCCGTCTGTTTAATGACATAGCATATTGCTCGGCCACCTACAAACGCCTCGCCCTCGAGGCGCCTTAGATTGGCCTCAAGGGGTGACCCAACTTGGCTGGCCATCTCGTTCTCGCGTGCGGTGTCCTTGATCCATCCTCGTGGCTGCTCGTCCTTGTCGTCCTCTTCTTCCTGGTCCTTGGTGTACCCATCCGTCCTCGACGTTCATACGTCCTCGAAGGTCTCGCACAGGTCCTTTATTTCGGATTCATCTAGACTTCCTCGTAGTCCTTGTCCAGGTCAAACTCGGCGGCGTACTCGTCCACACGTCCTTGCAGATCTTGTCCAGATCCTTCTCGGGTGTGCTCGCCCAGACGTCCACGTAACCTTCGTCTGGATCTATGGAAGTCCGGGCAGGAGGCGTCCTCTTCGGCATCTCAGGGCGGCTGATACCTGCGCTGACGAGCTCCTGGAGTTTGATTAGATTTACGGGCGTCCAGGCAGGCGGCGCCCTTCCACTGCATCCTGGGGCGACAAGCACCAGCGCTGGCGATTTCCTGGTCCTTCACTGGATCTACGGGCGTCCCGTTAGGCGGTGCCCTTTCACTACATCTGACGAACATCCTGATCCGCAGGCCTATGGCGCTCTTCCGGTGACGTCCTTCTCACAGCATCCTAAGGTGACCGTTTCTGCAGCAGGTTACCCCTTCGGTGTACAGGTAAGGGCTAAGGCAATAACAGAAAAAGAAAAGCAACAGAAAGGAGGGGATGTTAAGTGCTATTATCCGGTTATTTATATAAATTTGCAGTTTTTTTATGTTAGCTTTTACTTTATTTATTTTTGTGTCTGATAGACATAAGAGTAGATAAGGGAAACGACAACGACAATGCGCAAGGATTTACTTGAACCAGTTGTCGTCACACAGAGAAAAAATGTATGTAAAATAAGAAATCACGTACTAGTCACTCGTCACGACTGGCAAAATTGCGGGCAAAAGACATACATGTGGATGAGTGAGTGTGTATACGTGTGAGCGACAGTGAGCGGGAATGAGAAGGAAAGTGAGAGTGAGCTCACACGTAGAATGTATTGTAAACACGATCAACGTTCGTTTTACAATACTACGATAAATTAGCAATGTTATTAATGCAAAATTATTTCAACTTTCACATTGAATTCAACATTTAATGATATGCGACAGAATGTACGCACTAATGAACGCTTTCTCTCAAGCAGTTCTTCCTAGGTCAGATATGTACTACGCAATCCATGATTCCGTTTAATTTGCATTTCGGATTCGCTACAAACTTCTGAAATGCCGAAGTAGCCATTGCCCAGCTATGCATGTCATATTACGTAGGACTCCATCGCCGTACGAAAGGAAGTGAACTGAACGAGGCGGGAAAAAAAACTATAAATAACCGTTCGTGACCTTCCCTAAGGGTATTTAACTATCACGAATCACACGTGATTGATGTCACCAATGAACAATGTAACAAGGGAAGTTACTAAAAATCAAGAGATAAATAAATAAAAAAAATGATAAAGGATCGAGTAATTACCGAGTGACAACCAGTGACAAAAAAAACGAAGCACCAATAAAACTGCTGACTCTCTCTTTCCCTCTTTCTCCCTCCCTCTCTCTCTCTCTCTCTCTCTCTCTCTCTGTCTCTCTCTTGATCTCACTTCATTTCCTCTCATAATACTTCATCTCATTCCATCTCATTTCATCTTATCTCATCTCATACCATCTCTCCTTTCAACTCACCTCATTTCATCTCATATCTCTCTCTCTCCCATGCGTTTCACAGATATCTGGTTAAGAAATGATGGTTATCCGGCAAAATAAACCGTTATTGAAGGGTTTTTCACATTTATGGTATTGACCTTGAACATAATAATGCCCGCGTACTTAATACCAATTGTGTTATTGATGTCATTATAATATCATCGTGAATAATTACTCCTACTAGTAGTAGATGTGGTAATAGAAGTAGCAGTAGTAGTAGTAGTAATAGTTGTTGTAGTAGCATGATCCCTATCAGTATTAGTATTATCAGCAGCAGTAGCAGCGGTATCTTCATCATTATCATTATCTCATTCTTAATTTCACCTTCCTGAGCATTATAAGTAACTTACCAATAAATTCTTGAATAAAGTGATGATGCAACGTGAAAGAAAAATGAACACAAATACGCTACGGAAATGAATGAATGACCCAAAAAGAAATACGAAATAATGCGAAATAAACACAACATTCAATGGCCTTTAATACAATATAACTTCACTTCCTACGTCTTTCTCAGACAATGATTTTGTTTTGTTTTTTTTTCGCTTCAACAAGAGTTACCACATACCTTCAGTATTCATGTTTCAGCCGAACCCCTTTTCACCGCGCAAGACACAAAACCACAACCTACTTCTCTCGCGGCCACAGCACCACTGACTGGGAAACCTGTGTGTACGTGTGACCATGGCTTTCGAGGACGGGTCCCGCCATTTCCGAGTTATGCGCAGGTTATAGGTGATAAGGTCTGTGACATAACACTGGGCCGTATGAGAACGGTGTGTGTGTGGGGGGGGGGGGGATTAATGAATGGTAGGTTGGGGAAGGAGATAATAGAAAACGATAACAAATTGAGCATACTTTCTGTTTTATATTTTCTGATGCTGCAGCTGAAATAGATCCCAGGCCACCATTGCGTTTCCACTCAAGGTCGCTCCTATTGTGGTCAGATTCACTGGTGCTTGACTTAGGCAGGTTCTGAGTCATGGTTCTCGCACTTATTTGGCGTGGCTGATACCTAATATGGTGTTGGTCACACGCAAGAGGACGTATGTAATGAAAACACACACATGCGTGTAAGCGCCACACAGATATATGAAAATATATTTATTTACATATATATATATATATATATATATATATATATATATATATATACATATATATGTACACATGTTTTTTATATATAAAGAAAACGTTCATATTGTTAAAGAAATATCATAGAGATGTCATAACCTAATAACGGAGGAAGCAGTGAAGATTCTGAAGGCGTGCACGTGCGCACGCAAACACACACACACACACACACACACACACACACACAGACACACACACATACACACACACGCGCGCACGTACGCACTATCATGACATAGCGGCTGCACGAGATTTGCTGCGTCATCATGAAACCAACCAGTACTGCCATACGTTTGTTCTGGGTTAGATTATTGCATCACGTCAATACAACACATGATGTAAGGCTTGCATGGACCTTTGAACTTATATTTTAAATTGAATTTAATATATATACATATATATACATATATATATATATATATATATATATATATATATATACATACATATATATATATATATATATATATATATACATATATATATATATATATATATATATATATATACATATTACACACACACACACACACACACACACACACACACACACACACACACACACACACACACACACATATATACATGTAGTCAGGAGAAACGAGGGCTATGTAGGAAAGAGAATAAGGAGAATGAAGCTCGGACAGAAAAAGAGAGGAAGATGGGACGGCGGCAAGATTGCATCATTGAAGACCCGAAACATAGAGAGAAAGGAAGAAGCTGCGATGAACAGAAAAGGACAGAAGATGATCCGCATCGGCGACCCCGCTAAGACGAAGTAGATGTGTATATATATCATCTTTGGAGTGTGACAGATAACCACCTTTCTTCTGTATCCCTTTCATTACATATTTGCTTCTTGGTTGACTCACTATCTAGCTTTCTGATTGTGCAATAGACATAGATAGATAGATAGAGAGTGAGAGAGTATAACAGTGTGTAAAAGAGAGAGAGGGTGGACGGACGGGCGGGAGTGAGAGAGAAAGAGAGAAAGAGAGAGAGAGAGGGGGGGGGGAGGGAGAGAGAGAGAGTATAGCAGTAAGTGGGTAAAAGAGAGAGAGGGTGGACGGGCGGGCGGGAGTGAGAGAGAAAGAGAGAGAGAGAGAGAGGGAGTGAGAGAGAGCGAGAAAGAAAGTATGCGAGTATGTGTGTAAGAAAGAGAGAGGATGGGCGGGCGGGAGTAAGAGAAAGAGAGAGAGAGAGAGAGGAGAAGAAAGAGAGAGAAGAGAGAGAGAAAAGGAGTGTAGCCGCTGTTATCAACATCGGTATGGCATAGCTGCTGGCATCAGCATCACGTGTATGACATCTGTAGCCACTGCCATCAGCATCGACATGGGGTAGCTGCTGGCGTCAGCATCAGGCGTATATCATCTCCTCTAGGACTTAGGTGACGGTTTCCTCATGGGTTCCATGTATTTATATGTGCTGAATTAGGTCTTGTCCCTAGTGTTGACGTATATATGGGAAAGAAGGGTCTCTCACGAAAGGGGGGCCATCACAAGTCTATAGAACAGTTTGAGAGTGAATACTGGCTCGACAACACGTACATAAGGACCGATCTGAGGACTTCTGTTAAGGCCTTGACTGTTCCCGCTATGCGTATGTATCATACACATTCATGTATAGATATAGATTAGTGTCCGTGTATGTTGTTGCTTACCTTAAGCTGTAGGGTATAATGACATTCTTGACAAACCGTAAAATGTATTTTTCTGTAGTTGTAATATTATAAGTACTGATATAATCTTGTTAGTGAATCTAAGTCGACTTGTAACAGCAACTGTGATTATTATTGTATTATTATTGCATTGATTTATGACTGATATTATATTGATTATGTATTGATTACAGGTTTGACCGCATTCCAATTAAATTGAGAAGCGAGTACGACGCAGTGGTACCAGTTAACACAAAAAATCTAAGAGCGTGAAATGGCACTTACAGTCAAACGCAAAGGGAGATCATTGCTGTTACGTTGCCATGACTATAAAGAGACGGACGGAAGGAGCGAACTGCGGTAAGTCTACGGAAGTGACACAGGCGATTATTGCGAGGCAGAAACATTATAGCTATGTACGAGTGTACGGATCGAACATATGACCAAGCCTATTTGTGATTAGTTTTAGGAGAAAAGTAACGAAGTTTTGAGGATGGCTATTTCTGATTAGCGTATCCGGAAAACTATTTCTGCACGCTAAGAGACTGAAATGTTTGAAAATTGATACAATATGTCATGAAGGAAGATTTCTTGTTAGTGACATTAGCGACCATGGCCCTCGTGTACGCAAGCGCTTGTGTTTATGAGAAAGGTAAAATAGGTAAACTAAATGAATAAACGAAAAATAACATATAAGTCGGAGCTGAATCAAAGAAACGGAGCAGTTGGGAAGAAACAACACTGGTTTCACGCCCATTACATGTTATTATTTGGATTTTAAAGGTGATGCAAAAAGTAACTAACTCTGGAGGACATAGCAAACCTCAAGAATTAATCGGTAATACATCTCACAGAGACGTTTCGATGAGAACGTAAAAATGAAGATATTAAAATGGAAGAATTTGAGAAAATAACGGGTCCTCATGCGATGAGGAAAATAATGGGTCCCTCCATGTGGTGATGAAAAGAACGGGTCCTCATGGTGGTGAGAAAAATAATGGGTGCTCATGTGGTGAAGAAAAATAACAGGTCCTCATGGTGATGAGGAAAAATAACGGGTCCTCATGTGGTGAGGAAAATAATGGGTTCTCATGCGATGAGGAAAATAACGGGTCCTCATGTGGTGAGGAAAATAATGGGTTCTCATTCGATGAGGAAAATAACGGGTCCTCATGTGGTGAGGAAATACGGGGGGTCCTCATGTGGTGAGGAAAATAACGGGTCCTCATGTGGTGAGGAAAATAACGGGTCATGTGGTGAGGAAAATAACAGTTTCTCATGTGATGAGGAAAATAACGGTTCCTCATGTGGTGAGGAAAATAACGGGTCCTCATGTGGTGAGGAAAATAACAGTTCCTCATGTGGTGAGGAAAATAACGAAATACGGGGTCCTCATGTGATGAGGAAAATAATGGATCCTCATGTGGTGAGGAAAATAACGGGTCCTCATGTGATGAAGAAAATAATGGATCCTCATGTGGTGAGGAAAATAACGGGTCCTCATGTGATGAAGAAAATAATGGATCCTCATGTGGTGAGGAAAATAACGGGTCCTCATGTGATGAGGAAAATAACGGGTCCTCATGTGGTGAGGAAAATAACAGGTCCTCATGTGATGAAGAAAATAATGGATCCTCATGTGGTGAGGGACATAACGGGTCCTCATGTGGTGAGGAAAATAACGGTTCCTCATGTGATGAAAATAATGGGTCCTCATTTGGTGAGGGAAAGAACGAGTCCTCATGTGATGAGGAAAAATAACGGGTCCTCATGTGGTGAGGAAAATAACGGGTCATGGATTAAAACTTCATGCCCATATGACTTTGCTCCACTCTGCTTGATGGGTCCAATTAATGATCATAAAGTTTCTCCAGAGAAACCTGTGCTCATGCATGTCCTTTGCCCGTGCTCGTGATAGAGTCTCTGTTCCGTTTTCCTGCCGTATCCTTGCTGTTGCAGATCCCGATAACATGATGCGATGCAGAGTTCCAGCCAGATTACTTCTCTGATGACTTCACTGTTGTGATGGGATGACGCTATGGAAGGATGTGTCCTGACTTGTCATCATAGCTGATGTCCACGCCACTGCCTGGAAATCGCTGCCTCCTTGACTGACATCCATCGGTGCATAGTGATCAATTTTAATGTATGGCAACTTCTATAATCAAGCAACATTAAGGTCCCCAAGTCAGGATGCGTAGAAAGTTCAACTATATATTTATATATATATATATATATATATATATATATATATATATATATATATATATATATATATATATATATACATATACATATACATATATATATATATATATATATATATATATATATATATATATATATATATATATATACATATACATATACATATACATATATATATATATATATATATATATATATATATATATATATATATATATATATATATGTATGTATGTAAGTGTATATATATGTATGTATGTATGTGTATATATATGTATGTATGTATGTGTATATATATGTATGTATGTATATATATGTATATATATGTATGTATGCATGTATATAGATGTGTACATGTATATATATAAATATATATACATATACTGAATCATAGAGTATTCCTTGTTTGATATGATATACTGACTCGTATATAAAGAATTTTATTATATTTCATTTATCCGCAGAAGAATTCCTTTTTGTTGTTCGTTAGTAACGTTTCTAGTGCTCTATAAAACGCCTGTTTTGAATCCGCGGATGCATCGACTTTAATTCATTGTGAAGATTGAAGTTGGTTACGGTGCAAGTCAGTTATTCATATTAATATGGTACTGTTCAGATGTTTGAGCGAAAATTTGTAACAAAGTTTTGCCCTTATGCGATATATTATTGAAATCGTATGATTCATGTATGTGGCATTTTCACGCTATTCTGAGATTTCTATAAAACAT